ATGCATATATATAGAGATTCTATCGCCAGAGGAAGCCATGGAATACTCTTAATTTTCTCTATTATCTCGGTAATCCTATATACCCTAATCTTAACCCGAACCCTACCGATAACTCTAATACTAACCCTCAACTTAACCCGAATCCTACCAATAACTCTAATCCTAACCCTAACCCTAACCCTAATCTTAACCCAAACCCTACCGATAACTCTAATCTTAGCCCTAACTCTTACCTTAACTCCAACCTTAACTCTAACCCTATCCCTAACCCCAACTCTATCCCTAACCCTAACTCCTAAGCCTAATGTAGATTACGAGCGACAGTAGTACACGCGCGGTAGAGAGCGGAGAGCATAAGATTGTCTTAATCCACGTAGAATAATTGATACTAGAAGCCAACTGGTATTGTTAACCTTTGAGAAGACATATGGTGTTATTAGCCTTAGAGGGCCATTGGAGTCATCAGTCACAGAGAGCATTATTTCATAAGAGACGTGGCCAACATAATTAGCCAGTAGCAACTCCAAGGGATAGTGAAACGCATGCAGAGATGATACAACCGGGAGTATTGGCAGCGAGCTAGTAGCGAGGAGGATGGGTTTGGAAACGTTCCATAATGACGCAAGTGTGACCATGATCACCTGTCCGAAAACCAACCAATAGGACAGATAGGCATGAGGGCCTGCGTGTGAGGGGAAACACGTGTTCACCGAAAAGCCACGTATATATCTATACTATAATTTGGCTAATCTTGTGTGTGTGTGTGTGTGTGTGTGTGTTTGTTTGTCCTCGCTTTTCGCCCTGATTTGTCACTCAATCGCGCTAACTGAAGATATATTCAGAATCACCACGTCTGGGAGATGGTTCTGGCTGAGAAAAAAATTTAAAAAAGTTTTTAAGTGTTGTATTAAGTCAAAAATTCGAAAAAATGCTATTTGTCAATAGATGGCAGTGCGTACAAATCCACATCACATACGTGGGAATTATACTGCATTCCCTTGACTGCC